AAGAGAGAGATTTGTTACTTCAGTGTCTGTGGCTTTTCCACAACACTGTTATGAATGACAGTGCTGCAATGAGGGGAAATATTTTTCATTTAGCAGGAGTTTTGAGTGTTTCATCTTATTGCTCAAATGACGCTTTTAATGCCGCAGCATTCATAACCCGTGCCTCTTATCACGGTTCTCTCACAACACTTGATGGAATTTGCCATCGCACAATGGTCCGGAAATACATCAAAAGGCAAGACGCATCCTAATCTCCTCCAACTCTGCACATTGCAAATTTGCTGTGAAATAATTCCTGCTTCCCAAGCGTTCTTTAGGGATCTGAAAAAGGATGAGAATAGTCATCTTCTCCCTCTTCTCTTCCTTTCTGTGTCTCTCTCCATCCTTGCTCACTCCCAGTATGCATCGCACGAAGGCCGTGGGGGATGGTGGTTGTGCTGCAGTTTTGAGAGAATCTTCCGCAACAGCAATACTGATTTCTGTGGAACCATCCATCCTTATGTAAAAGCCCTATTTTACCGTTTTATCCCCACCTTTTACCCCCCCACCACACACACACACACACACACACACACACACATCCAACAAGAGAGACACAACTGACAGCACAGCACATTGACCTAGTTTCCATGTGGCACAGAAAGATCAAGCATGACTCCCTCAGAACTGCTATGGGCACAAAAACCTGGTTCAGTGCATTCAGTCAGACCAGTGCACATCGACAAACAGCGAACCTACCAATTGCACTTCAACAGAGAGCCGTTGCCACTTTAACTATGTCTCTGCAGTGTGGAGACGTAGCAGTGAGATCGCAAACAAGCACTGCATCTTCACAAAAGTCACAGGACAAGTGTAGCTGCAGATGGGAAGGCAGGCAGGAAGCCCTGCAGGTAAAGTTGTGTGTTGTGTTTAGTCTGGCGGAGGGCAGGTTAAGGACAGACTCGTCATCGTAGGCACAGCTGCAGGACATGCTGCAACAACACCCCCTCCGACCCCCTCTACCCAACTCCCAGCGCCCTACATACACCACTCCACCCCCTCCAGGTTATCTGTACACATGGAGAAGGTTATGGATGGAGATGCTATCACAGAGTGTGCATTAGCACAACAAAGAGGTGTTTTAGAGAAAGGCCCGCCAGGATAATTAGCTGATCCCTTACCAAGATGCCGTGTTCGATACAGAACAACATGCTAATGCGAAAACATAGTGTTGAGTGTTAAGGGAGGAGATGCAATTTGAGCCATGGCCATGTAAAAAATAAAAAAATCACTGTGAAATTCTGTCTTTCATCAACTAACCATAACTTTAAAACTTTTATTCCTTAAAGGAACAGTCCAACATTATTGGAAATTTAAGCAAACATATTCAATGAAATAAATGTGCATATGAAAATCAATATCTGGCTGGATTATTGCTACATTTTTGCTGCCTTAGCTTAGTAGCTAAATGCCAATTTAGGCAGTATCTGAGGAATTTCCAATACTGGTATTGGTAGTGGAACAACTTTAGAACCATTCAGAGTATTTTCTTTAATTTATGAAACAAAATAGTAAACCTGAATGCACTTGCAATGCTTGACAGAAAATACCTGTTTTCTAGACTGAATTGTGTACAGCCTCAAGCCATGTTCTAAATTTCTTCTCACTTATAGCACAAGAAAACCAAACTGACTCTTGGATGAACTGTTGACTAGCTTGCTAGCTAGCAAGATACATTGAAATAAGACAGTGACAGTTGTTGAAAGCGGGTTTTTGTTGCATTTTATGATGTATCTTTTTACTTTTGATTAAGCTAGGCAAGTTGAGTTTTTACTTGCACATACCTGTACTGGCAACCCAGTATCATGACACAGTGTGTAATACACATGCTGTTTCACTATGGCAGTTTCATGTTTTCAAAACGTGCTCATT